GAATTATTGCTTGACACATACATACAATACGTACATGCACATACAACACGCACATGCCACATACAATACGTACATGCACATACAATACGTACATGCACATACAACACGCACATGCACATACAATACGTACATGCACATACAATACGTACATGCACATACAACACGCACATGCACATACAATACGTACATGCACATACAACACGCACATGCACATACAATACGTACATGCACATACAATACGTACATGCACATACAACACGCACATGCACATACAATACGTACATGCACATACAACACGCACATGCACATACAATACGTACATGCACATACAATACGTACATGCACATACAATACGTACATGCACATACAATACGTACATGCACATACAACACGCACATGCACATACAACACGCACATGCACATACAATACGTACATGCACATACAACACGCACATGCACATACGACACGCACATGCGCATACAACACGCACATGCACATGCAACACGTACATGCACATACAACACGCACATGCACATACAACACGCACATGCACATACGACACGCACATGCGCATACAACACGCACATGCACATGCAACACGTACATGCACATACAACACGCACATGCACATACAACACGCACATGCACATACGACACGCACATGCGCATACACACACGCACATGCACATGCAACACGTACATGCACATACAACACGCGCACGCACACACACACACACACAACACACACACACATACAACACGCGCACGCACACACACACACAACACGCACACACACACACACACAACACACACACACACACACACACACACACACGCACACAACATACACACACACACACACACACAACACACACACACACACACACACACACACGCACACACACATACACAACACACACACACACACACACACACACACCACACACACACACATACACACTATGCGAGCCTGTGTGTATGAATATCCAGCCAACCATGTACCTTCAACTTACAAAAAAAGTGATCTTAAAACAATCACCTTTTCAGAGCCGCATCAAAATCGTAAACATAAAAGGCAAAAATAAAATAAACATGAATAAAGATTCCGAATTCTCTTCTAGGAGATATATATAATAAGAGATTTAAAAAAAAAAAGTCTAAATACGTTTTTCGAATTCTCTTCCAGGAGAAATAGATAATAAGTGAGAAAAAAATGTCTATATACGTTTTTTCGAATTCTCTTGCAGGAGAAATATATAATAAGTGATAACAAAGATGTCTAAATATGTTTTTTCGAATTCTTTTCCAGAAGAAATAAATCATAAGAGATAAAAAAATGTCTGAATACCTTTTTTTCGAATTCTTTTCCAGGAGAATACCTAATGAGTGATAAAAAAAATGTCTAAATACGTTTTTCGAATTCTTTTCCAAAGAAAAAAAAATAATAAGTGATAAAAAAAATGTCTAAATACGTTTTTTTCGAATTTTCTTCCAGGAGAAATACGAGCGACAGGATACGGCGAGGCAAACCAGCGCCGATGGATATGGTGAGTGATGTGCTAGTATAAAATATTCCTCACAAAAATAATGAAAAAAACAATGGTTTAAGTACTGAAAGTTAAAATTTAGTCGCTTTAGATATTAAAAGGAAAGATTTAGTCAAATATTAAAAAGAAAGATTTAGTCGCTTAGATATTAAACGTTCAGGTAGGTAGTCTATTTCATATCAGACAATGACTTTATGTCGAAATAGGAATTATTTACTTTTGGAGCAAAAGTTAGTAATCTTTTAGATGCCAAAATTAAACATAATTATCAAATGCATGCTTACAATGGTTTAACTACACGGTATATGCAGTTGTTATACATAGGACTATTCTTCTTAACTGTAATCTCTTAAGAATATGATAAAAATCAGGTTATGATTGATTTGTATTTTGTTAAGGATCTATGAATGTGGAGTTTTTCATATTAAGCGCATGAATTTTTATTTTTTCGTTCTATATACAGGGAAGTCTTGTTGTTTTTATTTCAAGCATGTTAATGTTATTATTCTAGATACATAGAGGTGTTGTTGCTTTTTCATTCTATGTACATTTTTTTTATCTATTCTGTTCTAGACAGATAAAAGTATTGGTTTCTTTTATTTATATATTTTTTTACGTTCTAGACACATAAAAGTATTTTCATTTTAGGTCATGAATGCTCAGATTTTTCTTTCTTTCTAAATAGATAAATGTATTTTTTTTACTTCATTTTAAGATACATGATTTTTACTTTTTTAATTCATGTCTCTTTTTTATATTTCTTTCTTTCTAAAACATAAATGTGTTTTTTACTTCATTTTAGGAGAATAATTTTTACTTTTTTCGTTCAAGATACATGAGATATGTCGACTGCAACTCGGCGCTCGCTCTTCTCGGCTTCATCCTCTTCGTCGACATTCTTAGGGTAAGAACGAGAATTATCGGATAAGAGAAGGAGAGAGAGGAGAGAGAGAGAGAGAGAGAGAGAGAGAGAGGGGAGAGAGAGAGGAGAGAGAGAGGGGAGGGAGGGAGGAGGGAGGGAGGGAGAGAGAGAGGGGGGGAGAAAAGAGAGAGAGAGAGGAGGAAGGGAGGGAGAGAGAGAGAGAGAGAGAGGGGGGGGGAGAAAGAGAGAGAGAGAGAGAGAGAGAGAGAGAGAGAGAGAGAGGAGGGAGGAGAGAGAGAGAGAGGGGGGGGAGAGAGAGGAGAGAAGAGAGAGAGAGGGAGGGAGGAGATGGAGAGAGGGAGGAGAGAGAGAGAGAGAGAGGAGGGAGAGGGAGGGAGGAGGGAGAGAGAAGAGAGTAATAGTATTAGTATCATAGTATAGTAGTATATTGTCATTATCATCAATATTATCATTGTTATCATTAGCATTATTGTCATTACTATTGTTATCATTGTTTTGTTATTGCTATCTATAGTTAGGATTATCATTATCACTATTCTTTATAATTACCACCGTCATTATCATTATCATCATTATAATTCACATCAGTACTATTGCTAATACTTTGGTTTTATCATAACTATTGTTATTATAGGTTTTATCATTAATATCATTATCATTATTATGTACATGGAAATTGTTCAAAATATTATCATCGCAATTATCACCACCATTGTAACTGTTATTATAATCACTACCATTATCATTACTGAAATCATCATTTCATATTGTAATTATCATATTATTATTGCCATTATCATTATCATTGTTATCACTATTATCATTATCACATCATTATCATCATTATCATTTGGTATTACTGTCGCTATTATTGTTATTCATATTATTATCATTGTCTTCATTATTATCATTACCATCTATTATCATTATCATTTTCATTACTCTGTTATCCTTATCCTCATCATTATTCTATCATCACTATCTTTATCATTATTCTTTTACCATTACTCATTCATCATTCTCCTTATCATCATTCTATATCCTTATCATCATTCTATTATCATTATCATTATGCTATCATCACCATCCGTATTATCACTCGATATATCCTTATTAATATTCTATTTTCATTATCATTATTTTTTATCCTTATCATTTATCCTATTATCCTTATCTTGTTTATATCATCCGTATCATAATTTTATTATATTATTATTCTATTGCCATTGTCACTATCATCACCATCGTTATCTTTATCATTATCTTTTGCCACTCACATTATCTTTATAATCATTCTATTACCATTATCATCATTATCATCCTTACTCAATCATTATCATCATTATCATTACATCCTTTCATCTCCATTATCATTATCATCAATATTTCATCACCACTATCATTATGATTATCTTATTACCATCATCAACATTATCATCATTATTTTATCCCTATCATAATCATCATCATTATTATCCTTATCCCTCATCATCATCATTATTTCATCCTTATCATAATCATCATCATCGTTATCCTTATCCCTCATTATCATCATTATTTCATCTTTATCATAATCATCATTATCGTTATCCCTCATTATCATCATTATTTCATCCTCATCATAATCATCATATCATTATCCTTATCCCTCATTATCATCATTATTTCATCTTTATCATAATCATCATTATCGTTATCCCTCATTATCATCATTATTTCATCCTTATCATAATCTCATCATCATATATCCTTATCCCTCATTATCATCATTATTTCATCCTTATCATAATCATCATCATCATTGTCCTTATCCCTCCCCCCCTCATTAACCCCCCCCCACTTCCCCAGGACATCATTATCATTATCCTATTATCCTTATCTTTATTATATCATCTTTATCATAATTCCATTATTCTTATCATTATTCTATTGCCATTGTCACTATCATCACCATCGTTATCTTTATCATTATTCTATCACCACTCACATTATCTTTATAATTATTTTATTTCCATTATCATCATTATCATCCTTACTCTATCATTATCATCATTATCTTTATAATGGTCTTATTTCCATTATCATTATGATAACTATTTCATTACCATCATCAACATTATCATTATTTCATCCTTATCATAATCATTATCGTTATCCTTATCCCTCATTATCATCATTATTTCATCCTTATCATAATCATCATCATCATTATCCTTATCCCTCATTATCATCATTATTTCATCCTTATCATAATCATTATCGTTATCCTTATCCCTCATTATCATCATTATTTCATCCTTATCATAATCATTATCGTTATCCTTATCCCTCATTATCATCATTATTTCATCCTTATCATAATCATTATCGTTATCCTTATCCCTCATTATCATCATTATTTCATCCTTATCATAATCCTTATCCTTATCCTTATCCCCCCCTCATTACCCCCCCCCCCCGCCACATCCCCCATTATCCTTATCCCTCATTATCATCATTATTTCATCATAATCACCATTATCGTTATCCTTATCCCCCCCTCCCCCCCATCCCCAGACATCGTCGAGTA